CGGGGCACTTGGCAACTGGCCATTTGCAGTGTCCCATGGTCATGTGACCAATTTTCAGCATTTTTGGCCGGCTTTCATTATTTACTCAATATAATAGAATGAGATTTTAAAAATTCACAGAGTATTTGTTTAGGAAACAAAAATTAAATGGGGAATATTTGGGTTGGTAATACTGTTTATGGGGAGAAAACGTGGAACAGTATTTCATTGCAAATCCAATGTAAGCCAACTACTGTTGCTTAAAAAAAGGCAAGGGGATTTTTACTTGCCTCAAAGTATTATGCTAATTCAGTTGTTGAAGCTGTTAAGCACAGGCAGATTGCAACTAGCTGTGTTGATGTGTTTGAGATCCAAAATTCCTAGCAGGTGCAAGATAAGCAATTACACCCTGAGAATGAATCTTGTATCCTTGACCATATGCTCAGTCTAAAATGTATGATCAGTGCCAGAGTAAAGTTGAGAAGTCTTTTCTCATAAAAATCCATTCCTGTTTGTCCCCCAAGTTTTCTGTTTCAAAAATAATTTTTATTTTGATGCTAGGACTCAGAAGTTTTTATTGCTGTTAAGATTGTTGGAATTAGAAAGTTTTGCTGATCTACTGCAGGTTACTTAGACTCTGTTCAAGGGTTACAGATAGATTCTATTTAAAAATCAAAACAAACCTTTGAAAATACTAGCTGTTAGCGTACAGCTATTGACTTTGTGGCTTACCAAAGGCATTTCACTGGCTATTAGTAACACATTTCCTTTGCTCTGTTTTCTTAGGACTGCTCTTGTTAAAAAGTGTCAAGAATAGATTCTCCTTATTTAAACATCACCTGTCTTTATCCTACTTTATATCAGTTATGAAAAGGGGATGAAGAAGGCTGCCATTTTCTTGCCCTGTTGGCTTACTCCCTGCTCATGAATGAAGCATTCAGTGCAAGAAAGTCTATATATATGCTTGGCATGTGTAAGCAGATACCTTTTGGTGAGTTCCTCTAGATTGGCCCATCTGATCTAGTCTCATTCTTAAATTAAGATTATCCGGGTATCCTACAAAAGCTGTCAGCTATTCCTATTTGCATGTAGTGGAAAATGCGGCAGCTTGGCTAATTACCACTTCAGCAGTGTGATTGCTGTCGGCTGATGAGCAACCAGGGTGCCTATTAGTAAGTATGCTCTTGTCCTGCCATCTGACCTCACGCCTTCTCTCCTCTGGGTCCCTTCTCTGGCACGCCCTGTGAAGCCTGTTGGATATTTTGAATCTCTCTTGTTCCCCCAAAGAACCAAACAGTTTATTGATGCATGGAGGGAAAAACTGTATCTTCACAGCCCGGAATATCTCTGCCAATGGTTTCTCCTTCCCTCCTGTCATAGCTCTGCCTTATCATTCTTCATTAGCTGCACCTTGGCAGAGCCTGCGGAGGGGAAAAAGACGGAGAATTTTATCTGTTTATTATTTAATGTATTACGAGAACATAACAGAAGATAAGTAAGACCACGTAATTATGTACGAAACCACTATGGGGGTATAGAAGAGCCCTGGTGGTGCAATGGTTAGCATGCAGTACTGCAGGTTAACTCACTGCCTACTCTAGGAGTTTGATTCTGAGTGGCTCAAGGTTGGTTCAGCCTTCCATCCTTCCGAGGTCGGTAAAACGAGGAGCCTGATTGTTAGGGGCAATAGGCTGACTCTGAACACTGCTTAGAGAGGACTATAAAGCACTGTGAAGCGGCATATAAGTCTAAGTGCTTATTGCTATAGCAGTGACCTCATACTTGGATGTCTAATTTAGCTATCTGTTTATTTATGCCCCCTTTTATATCTCATGTACTTCTCTAGATTCAAAGCAGGTTAAAACTGAACAAACATACATTTAGCAAATCTGCACACGGTAATAGAAAAATTGCAAACTAACAGACTACAAATGTTTTCTGCTATCAAGTAACTACAAAAAAAGCTAATTAGTGCCAGCACTCAACGAAATAGCCAACTCTTAAAAGTCTCCCTGAAAGTCAGGAGCTTCAGGACATTTTGTACTTTGGAAAGCAAAGCATGGGGACGGCTGGTGAGGATACAGCTTCCTGAGCCCCCACTCCATTCATTTCATACTGGGCAGGAATCCTCAACGGATCCTTCCTTGCAAGAACACCCAAGACAAACTGATTGTTGTCTAGAAAGATAGTCCTATAAGTAATCCCAGAGATGGACCGTGTATCTTCAGAGGTATTAAGCAGCATTCTGAATTTGGACCAGGAAGAAAATAGGAAAATAGTTGGTGTGGTTCCTGTATAGCATCAGCAGTCCATATCTAAATCTGCTTCCCCAGTTAGCAGATGGACTGCTGCCCTTTGGACACTTGAAGCTACAGTGCAAGTTGTCTTCAGAGTGAGCCTCGTATAAAGTGCACTGGAGGAAGAGGTCCCTAATCTGAAAGTTACTAGGCAACCGGGGGGTTGGGAGATACTTGAGCTTTTATATATGATTGCTAGCACACCGTGATAGGAGGTACAGTGTTATTTCTATCCCACATTCCTGGTGGTGTGGTTGAAGGCCTTATATGTGCTCCAGACCTGGATCAGGTGTCCTCCTGGGAGACGTCAGCAAAAGGAACAGAGCAGGCTGGACATTGGTCAATGAATTTATGTCAACTGGCTTCTAGATTTAAATTTAGAAGAGATAACTAGCCGAGACGGAGACGGAGACGGTTCTGTGGTTTCTTTCTCTGGGAGAAAAGAGAAGCCTCTCTAGTGATGGTTTTTTCCCCTCCTACAGTTATGGAAATCATCACTATTATCTTGCAGCGACAGAGCACTCGATGACTTAAGCCTCTATTCCTAGCAAGCCTGCCAGCTCCCTTCCTTTGCTGTGCTACAGCAGCATCTCAAGGGGGACCCATGTGCCGGCATAACCAAAGGAGCTCCTAATGAAGCCAGAAACTCTCGACTCCCTTGAGCCTTGCTGAGCTGCTGGTAGATAGCAAGTCTGATGGAGGTGGTGCTACATCGTGGATTTGATCGTCCTTCCTGGTCTTAGTTTTAAAGTAGCCTCAAAAACACAGGTGGTCCTTGACTTTACGGCTTGAGCCCAAAACGTCTGTTGCTAAGCGAGACAATAGTTAAAGTCAGTTCTGTCCTATTTTGCAGCCTTTCTTGCTAGCAGTTGTTAAATGAATGACTGCATTTGTTAAGTAAGTAACATGGTTGTTAAGTGAATCTGGCTTCCTCATTTGACTTTGCTTGTCAGGAGGTCGCAAGAGGTCACAAAAGGGACACTGAAATTGTTATAAATATGAACCAGTTGCCAAGCATCTGAATTTTAATCACAGGACCAATTGGGCTGCTGTAGTGTCCGTCTGAATCTGAAACATGGGTCATGAGTCACTTTTTCAGTTCCATTGTAACTTTGAACGGTCACTAAATGAATGCTTTTAAGTCAAGGGCTACCTGTACTTTTGCCAAAGTTGCTAGTCAAAAAAAAATTTTACATAACTTTTTTTCTGATCTTTCTGCCTAATAGCCCAAAACTGCTTCTTATTCAGAAGCTGAATGTAGGGAGAAAAAATCCCTGGTCCTTGAAGGCTGAGTAGACGATAGAATAACAAGAGTTGGAAGGGACCTTGGAGGTCTTCTAGTCCAACCCGCTGCTTAGGCAGGATACCCTACACTACTTCAGACAAATGGTTATCTAATCTCTTCTTTAAAACTTTCAATGTTGGAGCATTCACAACTTCTGGAGGCAAGTTGTCCCACTGCTTCATTGTTCTAACTGTCTGCTAATGTTTTGCTTCTCTTTTAATAAGAGCAAATGTCGAGTTTTTAGTTATCAAAATGTATACAGGCGTGCTCTTCTGATTAGAGATAAACCTTCAATTTACGAAATAAAGCATAAATAAAATGATAAAATCTATTCCTAAAACTAATGATAAAACTGCTAAAAACTGTAAATAATAAGCCTGTTAACCTGTTGAATGAGTTCATATGCTGCCTTAAAGAGGTTTGCTTTGTCAACTCTGGAAACATCAACAGTTTGTGGGGGGGACGCATCTCTCCTCGGGGCAGGGATGGTCCAGGGGGAGGGGTACTACTAAAAAAGTCAGTCTCTGAGAAGGTGAGCATCCTTTCCCTATCAGATCTTAAGGAGCAAAGCTAAATGTTAAAAATAATTAAATGGGAATGGCTGAGAATGATTTTTAGTGACCAATTGGGGGGGTGGGGGGTAGGTTTATAGTGCAATGGGTAGCTTCTTTAATATAAATGTAAGTATAGGGAATCAGGGCAGTCTCCTTTTAGATCATGGGTGTTAAACCCAATTTCATTGAGGGCCACATCAGGGTTGCGTTTGATGCGGGGGGGGCAGCTCAACATCATGCGTGTTGGGGGCACCTGTGGTGGCCTGACCACTCTACCTGCGAAAACAGGCTCCCAAGCTCCGTTTTCGCCTGCAGCTGCTTCTTGCAACTCTCTGCCAGCAAAAAAAGAGCTCGGGAAGGCCTCCCGGGGCCCTCGCAAGCTCCATTTTCACTGCCAGAGGCACCACAGGCCTCGCTGCTTCCAGGCCAGATCTAAGCCCCACCCACCCTGACCAGATCTGGGCCTTGAGTTTGACACCTCTGATTTAGATCATTGTTTCTCATCCTTGGCAGCCTGAAAATTTGTGGACTTCAATTCCCAGAATTCCCTAGCCAGCCAATCAGGTATACTGGAAAGGATTGTGAAGAAAATGCATCCCTTCCCTACTGCTTTATTTTGGCAGTTGATATTTCAGAATAAATCTCTTTGTACATGAAAGTCCCTTTTGGTTTTTGTGGCTGATACATGAACCCATAACAATGGCAAACAGAAGTCAGTTACATTTTTTTAAAAATAGATTTTTAAAGCTCTTAAAATTGATAGAATGTCTCTTTTTTATAGCTGTCCAATCTATTATTCAGTCTGCTTTAGCTCAAAGGGAATAACATCACTGTTAATGCTTAGCAAGTCTTGTGACTCATCTATATTTTTCCCCTTTTGTCTAGGATTCTGTGGGTTTGAAGCCATCAATCCAGTTTCAAGGAAGCCAAGGGGTAAGTTGAAGGATTGTGCTTGATGGTTAAAATATCTACTGGATGTTTGAAAGCCCATTTGTATTTTTCTTTTAAAATCCATGTCACAAATTAAAACTGTTAAAATGTAATAAAAGAGAGCAACACTAGACTAATATATCTGCACTATTTAAATAGTATGCATTAATAAACAATTTAAACCAGCGTTTCTCATTCTGACAATCTTGTGATACATGGACTTCAACTCCAGAATCTCTTAGCAATGGCCATAATGACCGGAATGTCTGAAGTTGAAGTCCACACATTGTGGACTTCCTACTTAGCTTGGGATATATACTCATATAAATAATTATAATTTTTTTTAATGTTACAGTTCAAATATTAAAAGTTCCACTGGTTGTAAATCTGTATCACAGTAAACACTGATCCTTCACAGATTTGTTAAGGATGGGCCCACCTCTAATCAGAAATAATATAGGCCTTGCAGTTGCTAAGTAACTTCAACAATTTAGATAGACAATAAGGTGCCATATTTTTCAGACTATAAGACGCACCAGAGTATAAGACACACCATAATTTTGAAGAGGTAAATTTTTTAAAAAAGGGTTTTGCATTCTGCAGGCCTCCCAAACCCTCTGCATGCCTCGTTTTTTTTCCCAAAAAAAAAAGGGGGGGGGGGGAAGCATGCACAGCTTTGGGGGGGTTGTGGAGGGGCCCGGGGGGGTGGGGGGGGGGGGAAACAACCCGTTTTTCCTCATTTTTACCCTCCCCAGCCCTCATGAACACTTTGCAAGCCTCCCAAATCCTCCATTTTTGCAAGAGGGGTTTCGGTAAGCCACAAATGCTATATTCAATGTATAAGACCCTCTTTTTTAAGGGAGAATGGTGTATCTTATACTCCGAAAAATATGGTAAATAGTTGCTTTAGCAGGAAATCTGTCATGAAGCAGCTAGTTGCGGGTTTTTTTTTAAGATTGTAAGAGAGAATCTCAAAACATGACATGACTTTGCATAGGTTTTCACAGTTAAACTGCTGAGGTTGGAGGTAATGAAATAATATGTGAAAGGGACTTTCCTTCATCTCTTCCTACCATAGTTACCTCCCTCGGCCTCGCACAGGGAGACGGTGAGGCGACCAAAGAAGATTCTAATCTCTTACTTTGTACATAGAAAGGTTGTAAACTTTTTGCCCAGTAACATGTGGTTTCCTACTGCCTCTTCACTCACAATGCAGCGTTCATTGTATAGGTGTAAACCTGGCAGCTTTTGAGATGGTTGAGGTGTCCCCAATCCAGAAGAACTTTCAAAGATCCAAACTGTGCTGCTGCTCCTCCTTTGTGGCTCTCATTAATCATTTAGTATGACCACTTGAGAGCCAAGATGCAGTGATGGATACACAGGTCATAGCCTGGTGCAGCTTTTCTTGGTAAACATCTTGCCAAACATGGGAGGGATTCACATCCAGAAACCCAGAGACTGTCAAAATTGCTGACTGCTATTTTAAGCTTATCTACTTCAAATTCTGCAGTGCTACAGTTAAAATGAAACTGTGTGGTCCGGATACCAGTAGTAAATGGAGGAAGGGGGGGGGGGACGAATCTGTGAACCTGAGTAGACACTTAACCATGGATGTAAACCCCAAGCTGCCCAGCTTTTGAATTGGAAGAACAGTCGCTATACCTGTAATGGTCTAGCCTGAGGTGAATGAGACAGGAGTTAATTGGCCTCCCTAAAAGGAGAAACTGCTGGGTGGCAGGCTGAACCCAGAGCTCTGCCAAGTGGGGCTCAGAAGAATGAGTGCAGACATATGACCCCTGTTTGCCCCTCTCTGTCAGCAGTTAATCAATTGTACTTCTCTGAGAAGGAGGCCAGAAGGGAAGCAAAGAAAGGAAACTGGTTTGGTTGAAGCAGCTCTGGATGATCTGATTGTGCGGTTTGGGAAGATGGGAAAGCAGCCCTTGCAAAAGGCAGCCATCTATTAGCCGTAGAGGGAGCACACCCTGAATAGTATTGTGTTGCTCTGTGCAACTTGAAGGAATGCTTGTTCTGCTTGTTCCTTCATTCCCTGGGAGGCCGAGAGTCATTGGGAAGCGTCATCCATCATTTCAGCCTGTGTGTTGTGCTTTAAAAACATTAACAATTTTAAAAGAGGCCTAAAAGAAGAAGAATAGGGCCTCGGTGATGCTCTTAGAAAGATTTATATATCCACCCGTCTTTATCATTGCTGAATTCATTGGGCAGGTTTGTGGAGTGTCTTGATTGTTCCCCACGGATGAAAACGTTTTTCAAACAAAACTCCTTGGTTAGGGACAGTCTACCTTATTAATCCGACTTTGAGCACAGGCAGGTGTTTGATGTTCTACTCTACAGAAGATTTGACCTTCCAGGCTTGTAGTTCCTAGCTGTTTGCGAGAGGTAGCATAATGGACCTTGGTCTGATCCAACAGATCACAGTGAACAGCTTGCCAGCTTGGCTCTAAATGTGTTTTCTTTGTTACTGTTCTTGGGTTGAAGTAGAGCTGGCTGGAAGTAAACTTTGTCACCTTGGAGGATAACAGTACCTATCATGATTACTGGGCCACTGTTCATCGCCCTGCCCACATGCAGCCTTGTTGATTCCAGTTAAAACTGTCTAGGTTCATGATGGCGAACCTGTGGCACACGTGTCAAAGGGGGCACGCAGAGCCTTTTCTGCTGGCATGCGTGCAGTTGCCCCAGGTCAGCTCTCAGTGGTGTTTCTTTTGTGAGCTTCTGTTTCCCTGCAAACAAAGAAACAAAGCTCACAAAAGAAAAGATCTTGCCTCTTTCTCCGTGTTGGGATGCCTGGCTTCCTGCCGGCCAGCTGGTCTTCGGGTCTCTGCTGTGCCTGCGCGCATGTCTACACGTGTGTGTCCATGCGCCTGCGCATGCATGTGTCTATGTGTCCATGCATGTATGTGTTTGTGCGTGTGCATGGACCTTTCAGTTTGGACATGCACGCAGTTTGGGCGCTCAGTGTCTAAAAGGTTCGCCATCACAGGTCTCGCTTACGTCAGTGTGGGTGTCCTCCAGTTGTGTCGGCCACAACTGCCAGAATTCCCCAGCCACCACGGCTTGTTGGGGGTTCTGGGAGCTGAAGCCTGCATATCTGAGGGTATCCTTCAGGTGTAAATCTTCCAAGCTTTTGAAAGGTCCAGACAGTTGGTCTTTTTAAGTAGAATTTTCTAGTAGAACCGGCTTTTCTCAATGCCTCCTTCCCTCAGGCAGGGGTCTCCAACGTTGGCAGCTTCAAGACTTGTGGACTTCAACTCCCAGAATCCCTCAGCCAGCGCACGCTGGCTGAGGGATTCTGGGAGTTGAAGTCCACAACTCTTGAAGCTGCCAACGTTGGAGACCCCTGCCCCGAGGGCCTTTCCCAGACTTCACGAATAGACAATCGAAAGGTCAATATTCGCAAGTGATCAGGGCTGCCACTGAACTCGGATGCTAAATAGAGAAATGCCTTTCTGAGCCTTTTTTTATTTTTTAGACGAAGCCTGCTTGACAATCCTTTAGCTTATAGAAATCTATATCCTCTAGCACACCAGGCGGGAGAAGTTGAGAGAATAAATAAGGCCAATCTGAAGAGTTCAGGAAAGTAACAAATGGAATTGTGGGAGGTAATAGATTTGGGGGCCTCAACTTGAGTTGAAAAGCTTAGATAAATGTCACAGAAGACATTTCTTTCGTTACTTCTGAAAATCCCCTCAGTTCAGGTATTAGTTTCCCTCAGAAACAACCCTTCCCCCCCCCCCACCAAAAAAAAGAGAGGCCGTTATTCTATTCTTGGGAATACTTGGCCGAAACTTAACCATCGTCTCATTTTGGTGGTGTTATCTTTGTTTCGAACAATTTGCTTGCAGGGAGCAAAACCAGCAGCTGCAGCTCCTTCTATTTTTAAGGGCAGGTGGTGTCCAGAGGAATAAACAGCAGCAGCCTCAGTCTGCCATCAGAGGGTTTGCTGCATCGGCAGAGAGGCCCAGAGGCCCTCGAGCGTCTGGCATCAATAATAATTCCCAGGGACCGGTGGAGAGATGCGCTCTGCTCTAACCCTGCAACGGGGCTTTGCCCGTAACAGAAACGTTAATTGGGGGGTGTGGGGTGTGTGACTGGAAAGCGTGCAGGGGTGACCCGTTCCGCGCTTGGCTGCATTTCCTTAGAGGACCTGTGGCTTTCGATCTGTCAAAGAAATTCTGCAAAAGCGCTCGTAGGTACGGGTGCCAGGCGAAGAGAGGCTTCCGGAACACTCTTTTTCGCTCGTATTCATACTTAGAAACAAAAAAAAAATGTAGATAATTTTTTTTTTCAGGCAGAAAGCTGTTTCCTGACAGGATTTTTTTTTTTCGTCTTCCATCCAAGTCTTTGGGGGGGGGATTTTTATTTATTAAATGCTTTACTTATTTTTCATGATCGAGCATGTAAATGTTGGTGTGGTTATCTGGGGGAGGGGGGCAATTTATGACACCTGTGTCCATGATGTCACCCATTACACAAAGCTTATGACAAACAGCCGTGAACCTAATTGGTGTATATAATTTCTTTTTGTCTCCTGCGTGAATGCAAGAACCTATGCAAGAACCTATATGCAACCCATTGGATTTATTAGCACTCTGGAATGAATTGTAGTGAGCCACTTCTAATCCCCACTTCTTTATTTAGCAGTAAGTGCTTCTAGAGCAGAGTTTTAGCCTCAATAAAACCCCAGGATTTTTAATTCTCTGCCATTGCCTTTGGTTAATTTCATGGGGGATCAGTTTTCCTTGCACTGATCTGGAGAAGCCCCTTCTATGAACCCACCACAGACTAGAATAAGGATTTTGAAGGATTTAAGTTTGTGTAACTTCTCATCCCAAGAGTTTCTTTCGCATGGACTCCAGTTGTTTCATTATCATTTTTCTCTTTTAAGAGAGGCTGTGCTGACCATATGCTTTATTCTCCCTGCTTCGTCTCCTATTTATTGATTTTTATTTGTTCTGGTATTACCTCTCTTCTTCTGATTATCTCTGTGGCTTTTTTTATTTAACTATAATTTTATCAAGATTTGAAGATATTACAGTTGGCAGTTGTTTTAAAAAATAGATGTTATTTTCTAGTTATATATATATATATATATATATATATATATATATATATATATATATATATTTTTTTATATATATATATATATATATAAAAATATAAAATATTATACACACAAACACATACACAGAGATGTTTGTTTGTTTTCATAGATTTCAGGTCTTTTCCCGTGTAAGATTGAGATTGTCTTGACAACGTTTCGGCAAGGTCTCACTCGCCATCTTCAGGCTGGTGTTTTCGGTTTCATGTTTGTGTGAATAAAGTATGGTTGGAGTTGCCGTCTTTCTATAAATTTTGGGAGGGGCGGGGTTTGCTGGCTTTTTTTCAGTAAGTGGATTGATTTGCTGTGTGGTTGTATCATGATTGGTAGATTGGTGCTGATTCGTGGTGGCTGTGTGCCCATTGTTGTTTTGTGTTGTAACGCCCTGGGTGTGGCTCGTTTGTTGACTAGGGCTGGTTTCCAGATGTCTGGTAGGCGGGAGGTATCATCACGTTTATTCATGTTGTGGGGATGTTTCTCTATTTCGATAGCTTCCATAATTATTCTCTTGTTGAAGTGTTCAGTTTTGGAGTTTAATTTGGTTCCTTCAAAATTTATTTCATGTCCTGTAGCTTTAAGGTGCTGGAAAAGGGAGGAAGTTTTTTTTCTTTTTTTCTTACTGCGTTCTTGTGTTCTGAGATGTGTGCATTTATTTTCCTGTT